TGAGATTTTTGACACAAACATCCCATGTGGGCGGGACTTTCAGGGGTGTGTCCCCATTGGCTACTCAGTTTTTGAGTGACAGCCCACTACACCACAAATCATACATGCAGCAAACTCCGGAGTCCACTCGGCCACGTTAGTGTCGGTGTCTCCTGGGGAGTTTTCATGAATATATCAGACTTATCTTATGGATTGCTGTGCATTCGACTTGTTTTGTGTAGTTTATACTTTATTCCAACTTTAAATATTTTAATACCTGAACACACTGCTGCTGTTAAATAATTTCCCAATTTGGGATTGATAAAGTGCCTATTTATTTATTGTATAGATTAAAAAAACACATCTATGTATTTTCAAGCTAAAGGTGATACACAATGTAAATACTATACTATTATTTTTTCAAAGACATGATACATATCAAAAGCATATATTGCTATGTTTAGGACAAACAATTAAAGACTGCTTTAATTTAACAAATTCTACAATATAAAAGTGGCAGATTTGCTTTATGAAGCAGTCCAGAGCTAGGCTGCATACCAACAAAAGGACATAAAACAAAAATGTGGATAATAATAAAATCTATTAAATGTATATGTAAAGACATGTGGTCAAATGAAATGACACTGAGCAAGTGATAACAGCTACGCCCAGCGTGGAGGAAGATGGTGCAGGTCTTTCTTCAAGCCCCCCCCCCTCCGTGCTGTCCCCTCAGAGGAAGTGGGAAAACGGGATAAGACCTCTGGACATATGAGAGGAACATAAATGTTTTAGGAAATGAAAAATATGAAGTGAACAAATAAAACACAGCTCAGGGGCAGTCATGGACGGTAGGTTTTCCTACAAAGTTAACTCAGCCTCCATTGATTTTCATATCAAACGTGTGTGTTAATAAAATAAGCTATCATGGCTTATACTTGCATATCTAAACAGAATCATGAAAGCATGTTGGTAGAGTCAGGCACACAAGTCCGTTTGAGTGTGTGCGCTGGTGTCTGAACGCTCACTCACTGATAGCTATGCAGCTAACGGTTCCCGCTAAGCTCGAAGTATTAACTCCTATGTAGCTAACTGTAGGTTCTATTTCGTATATGGCTTCGCCCTCTAAGGCTATCGCTATTGGGTAATCCCCCTGCGCACCTGCGCAGCACTGAAACACTTGTAGTCCACGACCACCCGCAAGGTGGGCCCCGCCCTCGGGCCTCCTTCCGGTATAAATAGGAAGGAGGCCCGGCAATCTGCTCCTTCTTTTCTTCAGCAAACCTCGGCAGTTACTGAAGCACAGAACCATTAAACATCATGAGCAACAACTGCGTCCGAAATTGTCCCTCATGTGGCTCAGGATATATCATGAGCTATGACCAGCACGCAATGTGCGATTCCTGCTTGGGGCCAGAGCACCCGGACGCGGCTCTCAGCTAGCAGGTCGCTTGCTGACATTGTGCCCGTCTCCCATCAGACGACATGAAGCGAAGAGCGGACGCTCTAGCTGCTGCGGCCGACGAGGATGATTGGCCCGTCCAGCACGTGGACGGCAGCATGTCCCTGGAGCCGAGTGCCGGGCAGGAGTCGGACGACTCCTACCCCGTCTCCCTCCATGGTTCACCGTGCGGTTCTCCCCTCCCTCCTCTCCCCCGGACGGGGAAGACAGAGTCGGAGCAGGGGGCTGGTTTGGCGGCCGAGCATGCGGTCCCCTTCTCCGTCGCCACAGGACGGCGCCCTACGTTGAGCTCCCCCAGAGAGTATGTCTCCCGCCAGGCCGACCGGGTGCACCAGTGTGCCTTTCTGGCGGCGGCGAATATCGTCGCGCTGCTCTCCAACTCGGTGGTGACACTGGTAGAGCGGTCCACCACCGAGGCAGAGGAAATCAGCAAGGCGGCCAGCACGGCGCTCATTCCCGATCGTGACCAGAACACCTGGACTGGTGAGTGGAGCGCAGACGTGACGCGTGAGTAGTCTCCGCCGATGTCAAAGTCGGCCCTACCGTACCTCCACACGACGTCACGACGGTTGTATTCCGCGAATATTACCGCGAGTACCCAAAATAAAGACCGGCACCACATGCTCCGCATAGAGGCTGTCGGTCTCTACGGCGACTGCGCCCCACCCGGCTCGAAGGGCGTCACCAGTCACAATTGACGACCACTTCACACAGTTTTGTCCCCGAAAGATGCACGACTCGTTCCGGGGGATCTCTCCGGCGTCAGCGTGCACCAGCCCGACGCCCGGCCTACATTACGCGGATGTCGCGACGCGACCGGTAGAGCGTCTCGGGACTCTTAGTTGAGCGAGCGTAGTGTAGTTACAAAATCAATAGGTAGTGGCAAGACCGAGAGACACTACACGACACCACGCAGGTACATAGTGTGTACCGACTGGGGGCTCGGTGCGTAACGAGCGCGGGCGGCACGGCGTGGGCTCCGCTTCCCGACCATCTCCGTCGAAGTGCTGCGACGCAAAGTAGGAGGCCGGACAGTAGTTACTCTCTTACAATGTAAACGCAACATTCACTCTGAAGTGTCAAACATAGTACGTGTCTCTCCTACCTTTCAGCCTCCACTCAACTCGTTCGTCACGTCTGGTCTGTTACTCCGCAATATGTGCCCGCGAGTACCCATAATACTGGGCACACCTCCTCTGTCATGGGGAGCGCAGCGCAGCGGAATCCTCTAGCGGTGCTCGAGGAGTACGTCTCAACTATCGGGTTCCTCATTTCTTAATTTGGTAGAACCGTCGCGTTCCGTGCTGTCCTCTCTGTAACAGACGAGAGAGTTCATCTAATTATCCCTTCTCTGTCTTTACCCTAATGGGAGTACCGACTTTAAGCCTCCGAGACGCACCCTCGTTTGGTCGACTCCCCCCTCGGAAGTGAGGGGGAAACTGAGCGGCGGCATGCTGGGGGCCGCTACCCGTCTGGGGACAAGAGACCTGACACCGCCCCCTCTCTCGCCTCTACAATCCGTGCCTCGGGAAGTCGGTGGCTTCCCGCTCACGAGCTGCGGGCTCCTCCCAGTGGGGCCAGGACGGGACAGCCCGGCAGAGCACGGCGAACGCGCCAGGATGACACCGGCGGGCGGGCCGGCACGGTGGGCGCCGACGGACGCACGCAACCACCGACACGCGCCGGACAGGTCGTCGACCTCGTTCAACTGTACGACTCACGCTTACCGGGCGGGACAAGCGCCGGCAGAAGTACCTGAGGAGGTACGCACCTTGACGCCCAGGATTGTCGGGCATGCCGCGACTAACCTCGCAGGTCATCGTGAAAGAGGCCAGAGGCATTGTCTGGCGACGACGTCCACCGACACCTGACACAAGTGGGTGCGCCTTAGGAGCGGACCCTCTGTCGCGCCTTNAGAATAAAGCAAAACTATGAGTTTAAAAAAAACAAAACGAAGTCAAGCAAAATTAAATTAAATTCAAAAATAAAACTATAAGTTGCAAACAAATCATTTGGGTAATCATGTAAACTATAAGTATTTTTTCTTTGTTTGAACATAGGTTTTTGTTTGCCAAATGATTTGTTTGCAACTTATAGTTTTATTTTTGAATTTAATTTAATTTTGCTTGACTTCGTTTTGTTTTTTTTAAACTCATAGTTTTGCTTTATTCTGAGAAAGTGTTGCTTTATCTTTATGATACAAAACTAATCCCATATTACACCGTGTCCCCACGACATAAAAAGGAAATCAGTTGAAGGCTTGCCCTCTCTGCTGCAGAGCAAAGAGCCACAGGAGGTGAAAAACTCAAAGTGACTCTTTTCCTTTTCACTCGCTGCACGAGTGCTTTTAACAAAAAGCCCAATCATCTAAAGAGCTCATTATGAACACAATAGTTTTTGTTTTTTTTAAAGGGTGCAGGGGGGATACTTTTTTAAATGCTTATCAAAAAATTTACTTTTTAGCTAACCTCTTTTTGCCACATTGCTTTGTAGATCAATGGTCTTGCAGTAATGTTATCCAACTGGTGTAGGTTTTTTCTGAAATATAAAAAAGAGAGAAAATAATAATCTGATCCATTTTCAAATCACATCCCCGTCATATCATATCAGACAACCACACCCAACCACAAGCAAAACAATAAAAGAGAGTATATATTTCTCTTAAAAGGCTAATTCCCTAAATTACTTCCATTATTTGTTGACATTTTCATACCTTCATAGGCCTGATCAAGGACATAAGTGTGTATCCCACTCTATATATAATTGACAATCCTGTGATATATGGTAGGTATCGTACATTAAAGCTTAATATGTTTTGGATCTGCCCATGGGGTCATGAAACTCACCAGGTAGCCATTGTCAGTGAGGAGTTCGTCCTCCAACTCTTCTGTGAGGACACATCCTCCAGCCGAGCATCATTGAACAAAAGCGTAATCCCCATTCATTAAGATCACTTATTTTTAAACATGCTTCAGTTGCCGGAGCTGAGAGTGTACATTTTTCATCTAATTCATTAAGAACATTATGCAAATTCACTTTTGGCATGAATACAGAGTACTGAAGAAACAAAATACATCAGTGACTGAAAGTGCAAATTTAGAGCTAAAACTAACCTGAATCTTTGACTTTCTTTCTGGCTGAATGTCCACAGTGCAGCATTATGCAGCAATGAAAACAGCACGTCGGCAAAGTTCAAGGTCTTTACATCACGTCCTCCAGCAACCTTTCAGAGGATATTTTGTTTGCATTACAGTTATTTTGTTAAACAGTTTCATCAAGTTGGGTTAGGGTTAGATCTAAAGTACGAATGTGAAATGTACTTAGATCTGTTACTTAAAAAGCACTCAAAGAATTAGAAAATACTCCTTTTCGTATCCTTTTTATTTATTGAGTTTGTTAACAGATGCCCTTCGCTCATACAAACTCAAGTATTAAGATAAAGTATGGGTATCAGAAAAAGAAGAAACACAAATTAAAATAAGAATACAAATAATAAGAATACAAATAACAACCTTTCAGATGATTTTTGTTTGCGTTACAGTTATTTGGGTAAACAGGGTTAGGGTTAGGTTTAAAGTACAAATGGGAAATGTACTTAGATATTTTTACTTAAAAATTACTACCATAATTAGAAAATACTAATTTTTGTTCAGAAAACAAAAAACAACAAGTTAATTAAAAAAGAGAGGGTTTCATCCCTCCAATTCTATTCTATACACACACACACACACACACACACACACACACACACACACACACACACACACACACACACACACACACACACACACACACACACACACACACACACAATGTTCATATGTATATAAATATGTATATATTTATGAACACACATACGCACATACACAGAACTGAAACAATCAGTTAAGAAAAGGAAAATAGTTTTGGCCTAAAATAAAATAATCTCTAAAATACTCCTTATCATGTTCTCAAAGGTACAGGTGTCTTAAGGCCCTGACACACCAGGCCGAAATCGGACGTTTTCGTTAGTCGGACGACGAAGCGTGCCCTGTCGCCCAAACTCAATTTGGTGTGTCCCGCACCGTCGGCCGTGACACGCCTTATTTGGCCTTTCATGGCCGACGCACGGCCGATTCAACATGTTGAATCGGCCGTGCGTCGGCCACAGGCAGTCGGACAAAGAAATCACTCTGATTGGCTGTTCAGCTAGCGAATCAGTGCATGAGAAGCGAAACGGTTGCTTGAGAATGTCTTCCACAAGCAACACTCCAATGGCTGATAGCTCCAGTACCGCACGAAACATATTTTTGATGGACGAGAGTGAAAATAGAACGCACACGCTATTTGTTGTTTGTTTAAATCACGTAGTCTGTTCTTCTTCTCTGTCTTTCGTTTTTTGCCTCTTTTGAATGACGAGTACACACTACCGCCGCCTGCTGGTAAGGAGAGTTATTGCCACTCACGCATGCGCGGTGTGTTCCAGTGCGACACATGGTCAAGACGCAGGAGAACACGCCGACGCAACAGTCGGCGTCGGCATCGGCGAGTTCTCTGGTGACTGCTTGGTGTGTCAGGGCCTTTATATGCTATTATAAGCTTATAATATAACAAATAGGGATGCATTAATGCCTAATCAGATGAAAATGTCAGTTTTCCTATTTGTTTGTATTGGATTGTGCATTTAGACTGCAGTTTAAAGAGAATCAACTTTTGAACACTTTCACAGTACAAGCCTTCACTCATTTTCATATATAAATACTAAAACAATTAAAAACATGCAAATGCACAGTATACCATATAGTGCAAATTGGCAGGTAGCAGAGAATGAATAGCATACATAATAAAAGAGAGCACATCATATGAAACAGAAACTGTTCCGGGATGCAGTCCATCTGTTTTCAATGTCTGTATGGCATAGGGAATAAAAGTCTTCTTGCTTTTGTGATTGATTTGGTCCCGAAGGCCAGACAAAAGCAGCTCCAACTCTGTTATAAAAGTGGATGTGAAGTTTCTGCAGTTATTTGTTTAGCTTTCCTGTGAACATCATTGTCGAATATGTGTGTTTTTCTGTAACTTGCCAATTACTTTTGCTGCAATGCTAACTCCCTTGGAGAAATAGTGTTCTGCTCTTTGCACCATGCCATGATGTGATGTTAAATGGTAAAATGCTTTCTACCAGGCTTCTGTATGCTACGTCAAGTATGTGTTGACTTTCGCTAAAGCTCCTCAGATTCCTGATTAAATACAAGCACTGATTGGCTCTCAAATCTGGCTCCATTAAAAATTAATGAAGTAGGTGGGGGGGGGGGGGGGTGATTTCCTCGCAGGCTATTACAACGTGTCACTTTGTGATCATTATAAATATAAGTAAGAAAAGGACAAATTCCGCAGTTGCTGTGACGTCTTTTTATGTGTCATGCTGACCAATTCGACTCTGCCCTCCAGGCATGACAGAGCATCAGCTGTGGGTCTAGCGATGAAATGCCAAGAAGTGCAAAAACAGTGTCACTGAAATCTAAGAATGCTTCCACACCTGTCACACTCAGCCCTTATTGATCTCAGTACTCTGCACCCCTCCTTCAGGTGCTGGTGTGGGCCTTCTTTGCTGTCATCTTCCTGGCCTCCTACACTGCCAACCTGGCTGCATTCATGATCCAGGAGGAGTACATCGACACGGTGTCAGGGCTGTCGGATAAGAAGGTGCGTTCTGGAAGGAATGGTTGGGTGAACTGGGTGATTGATGGATGAGTGCTTAAACAGGTGGAGGGCCAGATGGATTGATAAAAAAACAATAAATTGAGCTTAGACATGACTCAGAATGACGTGTCCTTTAAATAATGTTCCTTTTAAGAAGTACACAGTAGCAGATGAGGGATCAAAAATTAGATCATTCTATGTACTGTAGCTTGTTCTCTTTCTTTAACTAGTTTAAGTTAACAAAGGAATGAAATTCTTCTTTGAAGTGTTCCCTCTCTGTCGCCTCTTACCTTTTTTCTCAGTGCAATTTCACTGTATATATAACCTTATTTTTCAGACTGCCCCCACAGCTCTTGTAGCTGACAGGCCTTTGTTTCAAAGTGAAGACTTTGAATGTGAGAAGCAGTTCATCCTGCGGCATGCAGCGATCCGCCTCCCTCCACCTCTTTACTGACTCTTCAAATTCCTTCTATCGCTTTAATCCTCGCCCACCTCCCTTTTTCTCCTACAGTTCCAGCAGCCGACGGAGCAGTACCCTCCGCTGCGTTTCGGAACAGTGCCAAACGGGAGCACGGAGGAGAACATCCGCTCCAACTATCCCAACATGCACCAGTATATGATCCGCAACAATCAGAAGGGGGTCGAGGAGGCCATCGAAAACCTCAAGACCGGGTAAGGAAAGGACAAGAGAGGCATAGGTCTTGTTCACAATGGGGACATGTCCTTACCATTTTTTGAAATGGCTGCCCAGCTAGACATTTTTGGTTCTAAAAACATTCTGAGAATGTTAGTCTTTGTTCTAGGAAGGTTTTCAGCGGGAAGTTTTTGTTTGGTTCCCAGAAATGTCTTCTGAAAGGTAGGATAACGTTCTCTAAAAACATTCTTAAAATGTTTGGTGATAACATTGTTAGAACATTATGACCTCCTATTCTTAAAACGTTTTCAGCGGGAAGTTTTTGTTTGGTTCCCAGAATGTTCTTCTGAAAGGTAGGTTAACGCTCTCTAAAAACATTCTTAAAATGTTTGGTGATAACCTTCTTAAAATGTTTTTGAAAACATTGTTAGAACATTATGCCCTACTATTCTTAAAACGTTTTCAGCAGAAGCTTTTATTTTGGTTCTCAGAATGTTCTTCTGAAAGGTAGGATAACGTTCTCTAAAAACATTCTTAAAATGTTTTTGATAACATTGTTAGAACATTATGCCCTACTGTTCTTAAAACGTTTTCGCCAGAAGCTTTTATTTTGGTTCCTAGAATGTTCCTCTGAAAGGTAGGATAACGTTCTCTAAAAACATTCTTAAAATGTTTTTGATAATATTGTTAGAACATTATGCCCTACTGTTCTTAAAACATTTTCAGCTGCAAGTTAGATTTTTTATGTTGCCAGAATGTTATTATTTTAGAGAAGGATAACAGGTTTATGTTAAAGAAATTATGCAAATGTTCTATGGTAACAATTTACTAAAATATGTTTACATTATTTAAACATTAAGACATAATATTCCTGTAATTGTTCAACTCAAAATTCCTGGGTAAGTTGACTGACCACTGTGGTCATTAGGATGATTATGATAGTTTACTTAACTATTGGAATTTGACTATTAACACTTGTAAAAGGATGACACGGAATCAGCTGGTGTTTGTTTATTCGAAAGGGGAGCTGGGAGTGGAGGTTGGTTATGGCGGCAGTGGGAAACAGTTGTTCCAGGGTGGGTAGAGAGGCCTGGCTGGTCTTGGGAGTGTGGAAGGCCTTGGATTCCTCCTGGGAGAGACACAAACATCAGTGTGAGGCAAAAGCAGGCAAAGTTGTCAAAGAATATGCTGGTAAAAAGCTAGAGCGGCACGCAACAAACCGTTCACGGCAACAATCCGTTCACGGCAACAATCCGGCAGGGATTGAGTGCAGGCTGAAGGTTTTCATAGTGTGGCTGACGAGGAGGTTGCAGGTGTGGTTGATTGGAGATTGCTCCCAGCCGTGTAGAACAGACCAGCAGGCAGAGAGAGAGACACACAGTAGAAACAAACACATACAAACACTAACCCCCTGATCCCACCGGGAGTGTCTGCGCTGCGCAGCGCTACGGCTGCGCCGCGCTGCGACCTCCTCCTGCGTCATAACCCACCAGGTGCGTTTCAAAACGTCGCGGAAGCGGAGCGTCGTGGGTGAAGCCTCGCAGTTGTTGTTGATTTTGGAATATTTCCTGGACATTTGTACTTCTAGGCTACGTAGTTAAATATGTTATCCTGGACCTTTCAGAAGTACTTCTAGGAAACGAAATAAAACTGATAGAAATGGTTCCTATAACAATGATGGTACTGTCTCAAATCGTGTTTAGTGCTGTTTTTTCCTATTAAGTAAAATGTGGTGATCAGACTTCTGACACAGCCTTAATAACAATGCTAATACTTCGTTTTATTAATGAGCCCTGATCAATAGATTGTATCGCAGGTACATTTTAGAGGTAAATAAAATCACTGACATATCAGTGCTTCATAATGTCTTCTATGGTTATCATATAACATTGAGTGACTGTTACTGGAAGAGAACCGCTGCATGTATTACCTCCTACGTGGAAGACACGTCCTCAAGAATGTTGGAGGAGGAGAAGGATCCGTTTTGGTTGGACCCCCTCATCACATTAAAGGAGACATCTATAGGTCACTTCTCGTCAACTCGTGGCTCATGACAGCCTGAACGACATCAAGCATGTTGCTTGGATGAGACGTTTCTACTTACTGCCTGCGCTTCGCTGCGCCAACGTCATAAATAGGACTTCTTCAATGTTACCTATATTTTAGAAATTCCTTTTGCGGCGAGGAGCATTTCTGGAAGCTTCGACCGCGCGCAGCGGGTCTGGTGGACTAGCACCCATTGACTAGAAGTGGCCGCGATCACTACAAAATGCCGCAGCCCGCAGCGGCAAGGCAGAGGCTATCCGGTGGGATGCAGGGGGTAACAGGGGTTTCAGGGACGGGCAGTGATAGTCGGTCCGTTTCTTCCTATATGTCTGTCTTTTGTTTTTCTAAGTGTTATTCGATCCATATGACATAGACGATTACGGTGCATAACAACAAACCTTGGGGTATAATGGTATCAAACAATGTTATCACCAAACATTTTAAGGAATGCTTTAGAGAACGTTATCCTAACCTTTCAGAAGACATTCTAGGAACTCAAAATTTTAAAATGTCTCAATGAAACCAATTCCTAGAACAATGAATGGTAAAGCATTCTCAAAATGGTTTTAGACCAACAATGCAGACATGGGCCTACGCAAACATGCAATATTCATGAATTTCACTTGCTTGTTTTGTTCTAAAAAAGGAAAAGTGTGCGGACATCAGACTTCTTTAAACATCCTTTTCAAGCAATATGCAACAAGTTTGTTTTTTTAAAGGCGCACACAACAACATAAATCTGACGTTGACCATGACCCTGTTAATAAATTTCGCAATCACGGCCATTTCATCAACACAATAATACTCCTGCAACATAATCCATGTTTGCTTTAAAAATGTTCTTCTTTGGTTATCATGTAACCATTGAGGCACAGTTCTATAAAATAAAATCCTTTCAATGGTGTTACCCCAACAACCGTCAAAACACGATCCTTACGACTCGTGGGCAGGCAAAAACGTTCACCTTATGATTGACTTATCATGAAGGAAATTTTATAAAAAAACGTTCTGTCATCTCAGGCCTCAATAACATCCTCAAACATCTTCATGAATGTTGACAGTTTCAAAACGCTTTTATGTTCTAGTTACCTTCTTCTGCAGCCATTATTTGAAAATATATAAAACATCCTAAAAAGGTTATGTGACATCAGATTAAAACGTTTATTTAAAAACCTTATTAAGTAAAGCTATAGGTAAAGTTAGCCAAGTTGTGAGAAACGTTCCCCGATAGTGGGATGTATTTTTTTTTTATAACGTTTAGTCGCTTGAACATCTATCACTGTGTAATATCACCATTCAAACATTATATTAAAAAGTTGAACAAACCCACACAGCTCTGTGAATGTTGAAGCTTTATTTAATCATTTCAGTAAAAACTAACGTTCATATTTTCTTTTTGATTATAATACTGATGGACGTTCAAAACAAAGCACTTTGGCACTTACACATACGTTTAAAATGCTAATAAGCAACCGTAAGTTTCAGATATAATTTTATCCGTTCATAATCGGTTGTTTCTGTGAACCGGCCGACGTGTTGTTGTGATGGCAAATGCTGCGGTTTGCAAGGGCATTGGTGGGGCAGCATTTTTCTCCTCTCCTTTCGGTGAGGGAGGTTCAGTGGTTCTTAAGCTCAAGGAGGTTTATAAAGGAAGTTTGAAACCTCCTTTCCTATCATGTAGAGAACTCTCGCGGCACTTATTGTGTGACCATCAGGTTTTTTTTTAAAACGCCCCGCTGAAAACATTCCTAGAACAACGAATGGTAACAAACATTTCTAGCTGGGAACTCACACATGCCACCGCAAACATGCAATATCTGCTTACAGCTTATCATGAATTACGTGCTTGTTTGTTTTTTTCAAAAGGAAAATATGGTGACATCAGATTTTTTTTGCAACAAGTTTGTTTTTTAAAGCGCTCTAGAAATAAATCTGACATTGACCATGACCGTGTTAATATTTGCCATAACAGAAACGTTTTATAAAAAAATAATAAAATCCTGAAAACATTGTCAGAATGTTTCTTCCAAAATGTTCTTCAATTGTTATCATGTAACATTGAGGGACCGTTTTATAAAGAACATCTTTAATGTGTTACCCAACAACGTCCAAAACACGTCCTTAGAATGTTGGAGGCAAAACGTTCCACCTTTGTTAACATATCACATTAAAGGAACATTTTATAAAACACTTTCTGTCATCTCAGGCCTCAATAACATCCTGAAAACATTTTCAGAATGTTGCTTGGAGAATGTTCTTTATTTGTTATTATGTAACATTGAGGGAACATTTTATACAACCCTTTCTCTCATCTCAGGCCTCAATAACATCCTGAAAACAATTTCAGAATGTTGCTTTGAAAATGTTCTTCATTTGTTATCATGTAACATTGAGGGAACGTTTTATATTGAACATCTTTAATGTGTTACCCAACAACGTCCAAAACACGTCCTTAGAATGTTGCAGGCAAAACGTTCCACCTTTGTTAACATATCACATTAAAGGAACATTTTATAAAACACTTTCTGTCATCTCAGGCCTCAATAACATCCTGAAAACATTTTCAGAATGTTTCTTGGAGAATGTTCTTCATTTGTTATCATGTAACATTGGAGGAACATTTTATACAACCCTTTCTGTCATCTCAGGCCTCAATAACATCCTGAAAACATTTTCAGAATGTTTCTTGGAGAATGTTCTTCATTTGTTATCATGTAACATTGAGGGAACATTTTTACAACCCTTTCTCTCATCTCAGGCCTCAATAACATCCTGAAAACAATTTCAGAATGTTGCTTTGAGAGTGTTCTTCATTTGTTATCATATAACATTGAGGGAACATTTTATACAACCCTTTCTCTCATCTCAGGCCTCAATAATATCCTGAAAACAATTTCAGAATGTTGCTTTGAAAATGTTGCAGGCAAAACGTTCCACCTTTGTTAACATATCACATTAAAGGAACATTTTATAAAAACACTTTCTGTCATCTCAGGCCTTAATAATATCCTCAAAACATCCTCTGAATGTTGCAGTTAAAACGTTATGTCTTAGTTAACCTTAAACCTTATAGGAATATTATTTGAACAAATAAACATCCTAAAAAGGTTCTTTGAACATCCGATTAAAACGTTTCTTTAAAACCTTGTTAGAACCAATAGGTAACGTTAGCCAAAGTTGTGAGAACGTTCCCCGCTAGCTGGGTGATGTTGTCCTTGTACATATTTCTGAAGATAATTTGTAAAATAAATGTCTGTAAAAAAAACTTCAAATTTCATTTTAGAAATGTTTATTTGCGCAATAAGAAAACATAAAGGGCAATATAAAAAGTAAGTAAATGAACAATCTCACAAGCTAAACCCCCAGCTTGCTCATTATAAAATGACCAAAGATCATGCATGCACTAATCATGAACTTTAACCATTTCTAGACATAATTACATGTTTTTTTTTCAATCTTGGTCATTATTCACTCTATCCTCATTCCGACCCATCATTACATTGCCTGAAAGTGTATATGTTGAAGACCTTCAAAACATTTTTGGACCCCCTATGTCCCCACCACTTTTTCCACAAAAAGTTACACTCTTGAAAAGTGGCAACAGGAAAAGTGATACAAAAGAAATCGAACATAGGGGGGGGGAGGGGGGACATTTGAAATTCAATAACTTCTCAAAAAGAGGAAGCTAAAATGAGTGCCAGTGACAGCATATTTACATTGTATTTTGAAAAAATAAATGTTTTGTCTGTTGCTTTACATATAAAGATGGTTGACAAAGTAAGGCAAGCCTGAAAGTAAGGCAGCAAAAGGAGTGCCTTAAGTGGGGGAAATGTTCCTGACAGAGCCTACGTCCACTCGTTGCCTTAGAGAGAATGGTCACTGCAAATGAATACGAGGTTCTGCAGACGAATCATTTTATCCTATCATGATCAAACGTGTCTTTCTTGAAGGGTGGAAATGCTTCTAGGAGGATTTCTCACTTATCTGCTGAGCATGGAGAGTCATTGAAGAGTTTGACGAGGATTTACAAAGGTGTGAATTATAAGCTTTGGCCTTTAAAGTCACCAAACCTCAACTCAGCAGAACACACGTATGGGAGATTTTGGAGCCACCACCCAAAAACACCCAATCATACGATATTTTATTTGAAAGAAAAGTGTTATATTCTTCAGTAGAGGTCCACCCCCAGACTTGGAGAATGAATGTCAAGGAGCACTTCAGCTGTTCTGCAGACTCAAAGTGGACGAATACCTTGCTGAAAGACTTTTTGAAACCTGTCTGTAGTCCAAAACACAAAGGCAGTAGGTCATTTGAGTTTTAAATGGCTCCCTGAGGAGAAAAAAATAAACTTGCACTGGATTGCCCTGCATGTATCTCTTTGAGTTGATGAGGATTGAAACATTTGTAGAATTGGAAAAGAAGTCACTTCAAAAGACAGGTTTGGATTGGTCATTAGACAAAATTGAGTGTGCAGCAGGCTCGAGTGCAACAAAGTGAAAGACAGTACTTTTGCAATCAGGAAAAGGCCGAATAGGGATACAGGAGGCAAGAGTTCACTGACTGGAAGCAATCAGGCTGTATCCAAGTCTAAGTCATCCACTGTCTACATGCCTGATGCTCTACTTTAAAAATATACCTCCCTTTCTCTATTTTAACATGAGGCAAAGCCACCATCCTCGCCTTGTTCCTATTCCCCTTTTGTCTTTTCAACCTGTTAGCACATTGATCTTCCTCGCCTCAGGAGCGCCTGCTAACTGTTGCAACTCGTGCAACCCCATGGAGGGAAAAACATAGAAGAACTTTTAAATAATACATGTTAGCAGCTGCTGCAGTGCAGGGGGAAAATTCCGCAATCTCAGCACTTGCTGCCACTCGGCCGCTGCTTGTCTTTAACAAGGGGGGGTGGGGGGCTTATCATCCGTCTGCAGGGCCACAAAGTACACAAGGCACTTGCCATAAAATATACACTTGCTCATCATGTTTAAGGTGGCAGGGGATTGATGCAGATAAAGGGGTTCAATTGTTTAATGGAACAAGCAAACATACGCTTTTGCACAAGCAGCGACCGCGGCCCTTAGCCGATTTGACGTAGCATGTTATTAAAACTCCCATGATGCATTCATTTGTGTCATTCTTAGTCCTTCGCCTTGTTCATCTTACATCAGTTTCTAGCTCTGTCTATCTCGGCCTCTTCAGCACCTCACTCATTATCCGCTGTTTATCTCCGTTTTGTCATTTTGCTTTCTTCCCGCCGCTCTGAAATTATTTACGAAGGAAACATTAGTCACCACCGTCAAAGCAAAGCGCTTTGAAGATTCCTGTTTGATTCGGTTGCGGTGCACCAAACATCACCTCTCCATCTCGGTCTCGCCTTCCTCTACTAACTCCCTTTTTCTCCCCTTTCTGTCTCTCTGGCCTTTTCCTCCTCCTTCATTAACTCCTTGCTCCTAGCTCATCAAATCCTTCTGCTTTTCACTTGTTTCCCTCCTCCCTTCCATTCCCTCTCACCCACCTCCTCCCCTTCTGCAACATCAACCCTCTTCCATCCTTCACCATAGTCTCTTCTCCTCCTCCTCATCCTCCTCTTTTCAGGGAAGTCTTAGTGCAGCTTCCCAAGACTGAATATAAATGATAGTGAAGTAGAAGAGCAGGTGTAGTTACAAATCCATCATCAGATCCTGTGATCTACATCATCATTCTGAGCTGAACTGTTACATCCAATCCATTACTTTATGATAAAGTCTTTTAGCTCACTTCAGGCCTACAACCACCCCATCCATACTTGTTTTCATTGAGTTACATCTGTTTTTTACATTCCAATAGCTACTTAATCATTTCTTTTTTCAAACACATTCTTTTTGGAGCCCAACATCAAGTACACAAATTGTTTTATGTTGACATACCAATGATCAAAACCCAACAATATTAAATATACAGTGATACAAAACAATGAAATGCTGCACATCCTCATATTGATGGACAGAACTTAAAGGTGGGTTAGGTCATTTTGGAGAAACCAGCTCGAGTGCGCTATAATTTAAAAATACACAGCTGGAAAAAATCTGCCTCTTCCTTACAGAGCCCCTCCTCCAACACTCACGAACGTGCACATGACCAATGAGGGCACGAGATAAGTTTATTCACAGAGAAGGCTGACAGGCAGGTAGGCCATCCAGTTACTTTAGCCGGGCCGGTTTAAATGATTGGTCGTGCTTTTTACAGTACTACGGCTTCCACAGATGACATTTTTTAATGGATTTATTGTTAAAGCACTTAAGATATTCATTGCTATCGGGATGTTAAGAGCATTCCATGGAACATAACAAAAAGTGTATCTCGAGCCGGTTTCTCAAACTTACCTACCCCACCTTTAAGCAATGACAATCAGACTAAAATTCCGCTATGATACCATTTTGTTTACGGATGATATTATATTTTTCCCAAACTTAGCTAAGAGGGAAACACTCCAATGTCTTCTAGGTAATGTTCAGAGTAGGATATTGAGGTGAAATTCTAATGGCCATGGTGTATCCAACTTGACCAAAGGAATAGCATAATGGTAAAAAAAACTAGTGTCAAATGGCTGAACGTTAGGGCTGGGTGATAATATAAATACATACAAATAAATTGTGGTAATACATTAATGACTAGAGCAGTTTTTATTTCTAGATTTAGAATTTTATGAAGATTTAAAGTGCATTATGCATAACTGTAAAACACAATCAACAAATATTTGCATTTGTGTGCAATTTGTAATAACTACATTTTGAAATATATGAACTCAAGTGTTTTCGTCCACAACAATAAGTGGCATAAGTACAGTGCTCTTATAAGGCCTTGAGGGAGACTTTCTTTCTGCTGAAACAAATCGACTCCGTGCATTAGCATCACCCCCCCCTGCTGCTGCATGGTACTCTGCTCTGTTGAGGCTACTGCAGGAGTAAAATTCACATCTCTGCCTCGGCTGTGATGAATAACTCTCTGTGCGTATGTTGACTGTTAGTGCAAAATAGTGTCGATAAAGCAGTTCCTCTGGCTTCAGTGTATGTCTTCTTTTTAGACGTTCATTGTCTCTGCCTAGGTTTATCCATCATCGCTGTCATATTGTTCACTAGTTGCACCTCCTCTGTTGTGCTTAGCTCCAGGTCAGGGATTTCCATGTCTCTGTTGTAATTTTCCTCCCTCCTCCCTTGCTCGCAGGAAGCTGGATGCCTTCATTTATGATGCTGCTGTGCTGAACTACATGGCCAGAAAGGATGAGGGCTGCAAGGTATAGATCTCTGTCACATTTCACAGCTCTGCACAGTGACACACTCACACATAGTGGCAGCTATTGTTGATGTCCCTCTGCCCTGCAGCTATTGTCATTTGCTACCAAGCTACTATCTGCTCTTCTTAAGGGAGGAACAGTTGCAAACCAGAATGCCTAAAGAACTATTTTACAAGCGCTACATCTGCATTAAATAAATTAAACACGCCGAATGCATTTATATTATTCCCTCGCTGCTTATAGCAGCTTAATATTGTCATTTTTCGGACTGTGCTGTTGTTGATTTATTTATAAGTCTGCATTTGATGCGGCTCCCTTGGCAGAAATGAAATCCTGCCCTGTGATCATTTGTAATAAGATCTGCGGGAAGCCTGAGCTTCAAGCAGCATCACACAACAACCACTGCTGCAGTAATTATTCAAACTGATGTGGGTTTATATTAATTCCTCCACTGAAACAATACCCAATGCACAGGCTCTGGGTTTTGTGGGAATATTAGAGCTGAGCCAACTGTTTTGCATGAAATGCCACCGCAGAAATTAAGCTAGTTTTCATTTGTTCCCTGCCATCTGTCGCTTTGAATCTGACTCTGTCTTGATGAATATATGTGCTTGGGTTTATACTGTATGTGGGGAACTGGGGATGATAATGTGTTTATGATTTATTCTACAAGGTGATGACTATCGGCTCAGGGAAGGTGTTTGCCACCACGGGCTATGGCATCGCCCTGCACAAGAACTCCCGCTGGAAACGACCGCTGGACCTGGCCCTGCTGCAGCTAGTTGGAGACGGTAAGACAGGATGAAGCGGGTTAGAGCCACATGCTCTGGAAATACCCCTGCAACAAATACATACAAAGACAATAAAACAATTAGTTAGTGAAGTCCCATCTTGGGCATTTTTATCTTGTAGTTAATACTTTTTTCTGACATGTCAGGCAGACAATTATTTCATGTCTTTCAGAGGTGGGAAGTAGTGAAGTAAAAATACTTTGTAAAGTACTGGTACCAGAAAAATGTACTTAAGTATATTAAGTACATTTTTCTGGTAACAGTACTTTACTCCACTACTTATTTTTCTGATGACTTTTTACTTTTACTTCTTACATTTTGAACACAAATACCTGTACTTTTCTTACATTTTCAAAACAGGCTCGTTACTTTAGTTTTAATCTGCGTTTGGTGGCGTGATCATTATTATTTAGAGTCATTGCGGGCCTATTGATTTGAACATGATCTGTGTATCCATCATTTCTCGGTCTTCTCTAAAAAAGAGGGACCAATGAGAACTTTGTAATTTTGCCGTTGTTCACCATCGAAACATTCATTAGCTAACAATGAAATTATTGTTCTATTGATGTAAAGGGAGGTCAGTTTCTCTATAAAACAGCTGGTAGTTATGGGAACTTTGAACTTTTACAGTACATTTCGAAGCCCATACTTCTTTACTTTTACTTGAGTAAAGACGTTTAGTCAGTACTTCTACTTTTACCAGAGTATTTTTAAACACGAGTATCTGTACTTCTACTCGAGTAAAGGATGTGTGTAGTTTTGCCATCTCTGATGTCTTTTTTTCAAGAAAGAAACATTTATTCTGAGGACATCCCATAATTCATGCTTTCTCAAACAACCTCTTTAGATTGGAATATATCACCACCTCCCGTAACATATAGATGCAATTGTCTCCATGAAGTACATTTTGTAATCTGCCCAAAATCTGAAAGTTCAGACCGGCCACATGCAACCAAGAAATGCATGAAAATGTAAAGTGCAGAAACATATTGAAGTATAAACAGAACCATTTTGTGCGTTCGGTGTATTCGGCCTTTTAGGGCAGAAGTCTGGGTGAATGGTAATAGGATTTCAACGCAAGTGATTGTCTTGTATGTTGACTTATTTTAACCACACACAATATTTATTATGGGCCATTTTTGGAAGGTGAGTATTTTGTTATCCATGTAATCCTTTCTTAATGGGGAAACATTTTTTTTATTCACTTGGTAAGCTGTGCTCATTTATCACAAAACCACTTGTACGTAGTTGGAGTTGCCTGCCCTTGTTATAGTAGTGAAATAACTTAATATTGTAAGAACTAAAGAAGCCAACAACAACTCAAGTAAGAATAGACAACGTTTTCAAAATCAATGTTGGCAAGGTCTTTGGTACATTTTATAAGTGAGATGTAATACAGCTTGAGTTCAAAGTTAGGTAGAAGTCAAAGATGGGAAAGAGGGATGGAAGAGGACAAAAGTTATGAAAGGGGAGAGATGGATATCAATACAGGAAGGTTAAGGGGAGGAAGAGTAGAACAAAAGAGGAAGGCTGTGTGAAATGTTAAAGCTGTCATAACACTAACACTGCTATGTGCATTCCAATACCTATACTACCGTACTTAATGTCAGAAAATATTTGGCATGGCTCTATACGGAGTATGTCAAAAGCAGTGTGCAAATGCCAGTAGGCATTTTTTCAGTATGACAGTAAACAGGCGTGCTTTTCTGGCCCACAATATTTGCGAAGGGTCATAATGATTGGTTCCTCGTTAAAAAAAATGCAAAAAAGACAGAAATAAATGTTGTTTTATTAAAGCATTTAAAAGGTATAATGTTGTTTGCGTAGATTGCTTCTAAAACAAAAGTTATGTTTTGATTATATTTGACTGAAATGCTTTCCACCATTTACGCCGGTAACAATTATTGAATTGATCAGGAGCAAGAGAGGCATGATGAATCACTTTCACAAAGTGACCTTTACGGGTCACAGTAAATTGGTTTTCAGTTTAAAAGAACCTTCAATAATAACATAATAACCCTGTTCATTTGCTTATAATGGCAGAAAGGCCTTTTAGCTTCTGCTGGCTTCAGTGCTCAGTAAGGATAGAAACATTGATACAAAAAAAGGAAAAATCTAAATTGATCTCTATTTCAATGCATCACAAATCTTGCTACTTTATTTAACATTTATAAATGAAAAGTGTACATAGATGAGTATGTTTACGTGCCCTCTATCATTCATATATACAGTACAATATATTGAAAAAGTTAAGTGCTTATCCTGTTTTTTTAATACTCTCATTCTATTAGAAATTGTTCAGTTTAAAAAACAAAGACTATCTACATCTGTCCTTTATTCATGTTAAAACCCCACCACGATAATGTTACATTAAAAAAATGGAAATGAAAGGAAAAAGTGTAGGAATTGAAGGAAACAGGAGGAAACTTAAGTTTCTTAAATGCACCACCTCTTTTCACCCTCGGAAAACCAGAGTCCGGTCTGCTCTGATTGGTTAGCTGGCTGGCTCTCTTGTGATTGGTCCAATACTCAGAGATGACCCAACCCTCACGTACAATGTGTTGGAGCACTATAGCCAATGGAAGAAGCGAGTGTTACGTAGACCAATTATTCATAAACATTTAATCAAAATGGCTATAATTTAATGGCTTGATTCTGCAAACTGTCTTTTAATTATAAACTCTTTCTGGTGGAAACTTTGGGATTTTCGGGTTAGGGCAGGCTATTTACATTTACACTGAAAACAAACAAAAATGAAAGTGAAGCTGTGTAAACTAACAATCCAAGTTAAATGGAAATCAGGACATTTTTAGCCTCAGTCACGTCATGTTCTGATATTTCCTGGTGAAAAGTTGAAAAAATATAACTCTGTTGCAAACTTCAGGCAGCTAAGAGCAAATTGTGGAAATTCAATAGAAAGTATTTATCAACTTGACAGCACTGGAGCTGTAAATTGCCTATTACCGTACATTTTTGGCTAATACTGTTTAGACTGATTGCGCCCTCCAAATTGTTCAGCCAGAAAAGTCAATAGTGAGCCACAGGAACCTCATAACAAACCCCACAGACATCACATGCAATTACTATCCAAAGCAAATGCACTATGGCCCTCAAAAGGTTCTGTAATTGTTCAGCATAATACCTCTCTTTGTTAGAGCATCGTGGTTTCTTTTTATGGCAAATGAATAGTCAGTCGCCAAATTGAGTTCTCTGGGGAGCAATTTAGTCTGTTCGCAATTAGCAAGGCTTGATAATCGAAGTGGAAGACGCCTCAGAGCAGGCAGTGACAGCGGCTCCTAGGGGCCGCGGGCACTGGAGGCTGCCGGTACGTGGATACTGAACATTCTCAGACTAACTGTTAAATTGATTTAGGGGTGGGGGTCTTAAAAATAATCATCAGTATTTTTAATAGGGTGACACTACAATCACAGAATTGTTTGAAGGATAGATCTTTTTTTTAAGTATTAACAGTGACTTATCATGCTTATTTCCAGGTTCATACTTTTATTATGGGTTTGACAGTTTGCCAACTTTATAACCTCAGAACGTCAACAAGCGCTCCGGTCCCAGCTGTGTGCACCCCCCAGCAGTTACTATCGGTTTAGGTCTTTTTATTTTGAGCTTCTAACCCCCACAGCAGCTAAAACATTAAAAAAAAAAAGGGTCTAGAGTAGATGCACAGCAGTATATTTTTTTTCACAAAATAAACCTTTTGAAGATGAAGATGCTCTGTGTGTCAAGTCCCACTTGTCTCCAAAAGACTTCCAAGAAATAAACCGTCTTCAAAGTCATGCTGAAAAGGACCGAGGAATATGTAGTGTTTCACCTGCTGACGTGGCACCTAATCTCAAATCCCACCGCAGCGTGTATCCAAAGTTCGCCTCCTTTCCACTTCTCCTTTGTGTCATTCACATTGATTTGTGCTGACTGAGCAAAGCCAATAATAACACCTCTCACAATAAAGAAAGATAAAACGAAAAAGTGAACGCAAACAGCTTTCGGCACTGTGGCTAGAACATACTGTAGCAGCATAGTTCACCCTCGGGACATTTCTTTTTTCTTCTAATCTTTTCTGTTCCGATGTCTTTGAGTCATCAGGGACCCTGATGCTGATTTTGATTTCATCGACTGAAAAAAATTGAGCTGCAAGCATTTGTCTGAACCTCCAATTTTGTTTTCATGTTTCATTTAGTTCCACATTCAAACAAAACCCAGAGATCATTATGGGTCAACATCTAAAAACAAACAAATGAAATGGCAGAAATGTTCATTGAAAAGTGTCCTGACATTGGTGTCATTTTTCTTTTGTATTATACTCTTACACAGAATCTTTTGAACATTATCGCACACAACAGAGACTTTTAAAACATTAACCTCCATGACTCATTAGATATAAATGTTCCTCTCAATAAAAATGATTTGTATTCAGGCTATCTATGTTAAGTCCCCCCCATCAACTTCAATCCCCTTCATAGTTTTTTAGTTGGGAGAAGCCAGGGTAGAATAAAAAAGATAGTTGGTTATTTGACAAAATATCCTTGCACTTGCTAAATGATACGCTTCATAACTCCAAGTGCCTTGCAGAAGTACCCTCGAAAAGATTAATACATTTTAGAGATCCATGTCTTTCTTTATTAATTGAACTTGCCTTCACACGTACACAACCCTTCTCCCATCTCTTCCTCCCTTTGTATTTGTACCCTCTCTCAAGTGGCTCTCCAATCATTATGTGTGCTTTTACAGGTCCGCTGACAAAAAAACACTTTCAGTTTTCACAAAACCATTTTTTCAGAGATATGGAAAGAGTGTGATGACATAGCGCCAGGAACAACTGCATCTCGTACAATTTACTTCTGTCACTCACAAAAAGGCTGTTGAAATAACTTCAAATGATTTGATGTGTTTTTCTGTCCAATATTTATCTCGCCGCATACTTCCCTTTTGCTTTATTTACAGTTGATATGCTGAATATTGCTGCTGCTCGGAGTATCTCTGAGGGTACAATACAATCCAATCTAAATATGACGGGAAAACAAATTAAATCAAACATGGAATTGAAGATCTTTGAAATGTGACATTGGGCAAAACCAAAGCAATTTCTTTGTTTTACAACCAAGCTTCAATTTCCATCTACAGAAAACATTTTCCATCTAATGAAAGCTAAATCATACCTTATATTTGTAGAATGGTAAGTCTTGCTTCATACAACATATTTGGAAAGGACATTCAAAACTTCCAAAGGGATCACAGCCTACTTGCAAGTAATGCTGAAGTTGTCCATTATGATGTCATTTCTGCTAATAACATAGTCCTTCAAGGCTGGTTTGAGTTGCATGAGCAGCATTCAGTCTTTGTATTGTCATCTATTCTTTTCATGCCAGGCTCTTTTGTTATGATCAGAAAGTTAGTGTGTTTGTGTTGAATTTGTCAGTTTTTTATTTTCAGTTATTGTTTTGCCCCTTAACTCTTTATTGTTTTTCGTGTTTGAGTTATTTAACTTTATTTTTGAATCGTAGAATGGTGGCTTATTTTTGAGCATTTTTACTTTGGAATTTGTCGTTGTTCATTTGATTTAAGCTACCATATTTGGCAATAAATGATTCAGTAGTCTCCTACATCATATTCTTTATCTGGTTTGATATTACTTTGGTTGTGAACTTAGGTAACTAAGTCAAAGAATATGCTGGTAAAAAGCTAGAGCGGCACGCAACAAACCGTTCACGGCAACAATCCGGCAGGGAATGAGTGCAGGCTGCAGGTTTTAATAGTGTGGCTGACGAGCAGGTTGCAGGTGTGGTTGATTGGAGATTGCTCCCAGCTGTGTAGAGCATACCAGCAGGCAGAGAGAGAGACACACAGTAGAAAGAAACACATACCGTAATTTTCGGACTATAAGCCGCGCCTTTTTCCCTATTTTTCGACGCTGCGGCTTATATAACGGTGCGGCTAATCTATGGATTTTTACAGCTAACGGCCAACACCTTTAACTCTATGGGCTCTATGGCCGGTCCGCGGACCCCCACCTTTAAGCGGCGGGTTCCAGCAGGAAAAGCTGGAGGCCGGAAAAGAGTGAGACAGGTAGCGCGCAAAAGTAAAAGTGGAACCGAGAGTGGTATGCCGCTGCTGCGGCTTATATTCAGGTGCGGCTTATAGTCCGAAAATTACGGTACAAACACTAACAGGGGTTTCAGGGACGGAACACTAACAGGGGTTTCAGGGACGGGCAGTGATAGTCGGTCCGTTCTTCTATATGTCTGTCTTTGGTTTTTCTAAGTGTTATTCGATCCATATGACAATAGAGATACGTATGTGCATAAACAACAAAAACACTTGGGGTATAATGTTCGAACAATGTTATCACCAAACATTTTAAGAATGTTTTTAGAGAACGTTATCCTACCTTTAAGAAGTACATTCTAGGAACCAAAATAAAACTTCTCGATGAAACCATTCCTAGAACAATGAATGGTAACATTCTCAGAATGTTTTTAGAACCAACAATGTCTAGCTGGGAACTCAGACATGCCTACGCAAACATACAATATCATGAATTACGTGCTTGTTTTTTTCTAAAAAGGAAAATGTGGTCACATCAGATTTCTTTTAAACATCCTTTTCAAACAAATGCAAAAACTTTGTTTTCTAAAGCGGACTACAAATAAATCTGACGTTGACCATGACCCTGTTAATATTTCGCATCACAGGAACATTTTATAAAAAAATAATAATCTCCTGAAAACATTATCCAAATGTTGCTTCCAAAATGTTTTTGTTTGGTTATCATGTAACATTGAGGGAATGTTCTATAAAAGAACATCTTTAATGTGTTACCCCAACAACGTCCAAAACACGTCCTTAGAATGTTGGAGGCAAAACATTCCACCTTTGTTGACTTATCACATTAAAGGAACATTTTATAAAACACTTTGTCATCTCAGGCCTCAATAACATCCTGAAAACATTTTCAGAATGTTGCTTGGAGAATGTTCTTTATTTGTTATCATGTAACATTGAGGGAACGTTTTATAAAGAACATCTTTAATGTGTTACCTAACAACGTCCAAAACACATCCTTAGAATGTTGCAGGCAAAACGTTCCACTTTTGTTAACGTATCACATTAAAGGAACATTTTATAAAACACTTTGTCATCTCAGGCCTCAATAACATCCTGAAAACATTTTCAGAATGTTGCTTGGAGAATGTTCTTTACTTGTTATCATGTAACATTGAGGGAACGTTTTATATAGAACATCTTTAATGTGTTACCCAACAACGTCCAAAACACGTCCTTAGAATGTTGCAGGCAAAACGTTCCACCTTTGTTAACATATCACATGAAAGGCCTCAATAACATCCTCAAAACATCCTCTGAATATTGCAGTTAAAACGTTATGTCTTAGTTAACCTTAAACCTTATAGGAACATTATTTGCACAAATAAACATC